TGTTTCACTCCCCCTGTCTAAATTGTGTCTTCTGGTCAATTCAAGAAATAGTTTGTCACATGCCTGCTGTGATGATTAAAAAGTTTGAGAGGCATAGTTTCTGGGTAATTTAATAATTTTATTAATAATGCCAGCATTTTAATAAAAGGATGGTCATTTATCCATCTCTCTTAGATCAAAGACAATCATGGTGGTAGGCTCACAGTTTATACTCCCATGGAAGAGTATAAAGAGTATATATTCCTGAAGGTGGTAATCAACTCTGATTGGCTAACAATTAATGAGAAAATGAATATTACGATGAAAGAGTGGGCTATATTATAATGAGCATCTTGGGGTATGTGACTCGGATCACCCAAGTCTTGGTCAAAGAGACTCATCAATTTCCATATCACCTGTCTGATAAAAGGGAGGATCCACATTTTCCTAGACCAATCTGAGCAAACGCAATGAACAGGAATGCACCCGTTAGCCCAAACTTAGAATTCCTTTTACTGTCTGATTAGTAAATCTTGGCCTGGGTAAATCTTTGAGAGAGGTCTCCCACACAGTTTGATTTCTGGATGAAGGAAGCAGAAAAGGGAAAAACCTTGGTCCTAATACAATAATTAGTTATTAATACCTGATAGAAATAATCATTTCTCACACTCCTGTATTCAAGGCACTGTGCTAGGTGCTGGGGCATACAAAGACAAACATGAAAAGTCCCTGCCTTCAAGGATTGTATATTCTCCTGAGGGATATGGGATAAAACACAGACACAATTAAATAAATTTATGGGAAAATAAAAAATAATACAAAGTAATTGAGAGAGAGAGAGAGAGAGAGAACATTACTGAATAGGACAATCAGAAAAGGTCTCAACTAGGAGGTGACTTGGGCTTTTAAGAAAGCTAGGCATTCTCAGAACTGGATGCTTCAATGGCACAATGACAAAGACCCAATTCCAATCCTGGGAGCCAAAATTAAGAGGGTCAATTTCTCTCTTTGGCTCATTTCCTCTTCTGAAATTTATCTAAGAAAATATTTTAATATACCTAAGCTATGTAGCTCTTGTTTGTTTTCCCAAATGTAGGTGAAAGTGTCCTTGACTCCTGTACAAGCACCCAAGGTACAAAATGCATGTTGGTACAGGACTACCTTTGTTTCAAACCACAGAAAATACATAAAATGCAAAATACTGAAAACAACAACAAAATAAACAAAAGAACACTAACCTTATAGGAGCCCATAAACAGATAAAGAAAATATATAAAGCACTCAAACAGCCAATCACCTCCCCCTAGAAGGGAACTGAACTTGAGGGTGCCATTTTAGACTTTACAATGAGCATCCTCCCCTCCTCCCCAGAGTGTTAGATGGTCTCCTCGAGCCAGATATTAGCACTCCATAGTTTAGACTGCCTCTGGAAGATAAATATACTTTGGAAGCTTCTCATCAAGCAATCTCTTTCCTATTTATTTAATTCATCTCCACTGAGGACACAGTTAGCCATTTAAAGAATTTAAAATTCAAGGTCTAGATTTACATTGGGTGAGTAATTTATTGGTTTAGGTTTGATCATTGAACTCTCAAGTTTGAGGACTTTTGAACTTGGAGTTACTTATGAGGCAATTTCCAAACCCATTATTGCCCAGGAAATCAATCTCCCTTTCTGGCTGGAGGGTTACATTGTTTTATTTTCTAATTTTAAAATTTTATTTTATTTTTCAATTAACAAACATTTGCTTTCTTACCCTCTCTCTTCATTGTAAAGGGAAAAAAAATAAAATTTCTGCAACAAATAATGTATGGTCAAACAAAACAAATTCCCATGTTGACCATGTTCAAAAATGTTTGTCTCATTCTGCATCTTGCATCTATCACTTCTCTCTCGGGAGGAGAAAATAACATACATCATTATCAGACCTCTGGACTCACAGCCAGTCATTGCACTGGTCAGAGATCTTGACTCTTTACCAGGTTGCTGTTACTGTATGCATTGTTTTTTTTGGGGGGGGGTTTGGAAGCAATACGAGTTAAGTGACTTGCCCAGGGTTACACAACTAGTAAATGTCTGAGGCTGGATTTGAACCCAGCTCCTCCTGACTGCAGGGCCAGTGCTTTATCCACTTTGCCACCCAGCTACCCCTTGCTGTATACATTGTTTTCTTAGTTCTGCTTAGTTGTCTCTGCATCAGTTTGTAAAAGTCTTCCCTGAACCTATTCTTTTTGTAACTTCTTTTTAATGGCATAAATGTATTCCATTACAGTACATTCATATACCGCAATTATTTCAGCCATTCCCTAATTGGCAGGTACTCCTCAGTTCCCAGTTCTTTGCCACTGTAAAAAAGTGCTGCTATAAATATTTTTGTACATATGACTTCTTTTCCTATTTGATCTTAGGCCCATTAGAGGCATTGGTAGGCATGCACAATTTAGTGACTCTGGAGATATAATTCCAAAATGCTTTGCTAGAAAGTCTATGCCAATTCACAGCTCTACCAACAATGTATTAGCGTGCCTGTTTTCCTGAAGCCCTTCCAACATATATGATTTTTTCTGTATTTTTTTTTTCATCTTTGACATTCTGATAGGTAGAAGGCTAGATTCTAGGATCATACTGCCCAGGGCATTTATCCCTCCCCCCTTCTGCAGATGGAATTCACAAACATTATGAGCTACCTCCTTAGGCCCTGTATAAATATTTTGTTGTTGCTGCAAATTGTCATTAACTGCTCATAGGAAAGGAAAACACGTGAGCATAGGTTCTCTACCCTCAGAGTGCAGGGGCTACATATCTGAAGAATCTTCCCCATCCCCATTACTCCATAGTGTCTGGGAGTCTGGCTGAGTAACATATCACCCCTCCAACAACAGAAACTGTTCTCCTAAAACATGTGGAAAGTAACCAAGAACCACTCTGGGCCTAGTTTCCCAGCTGTGAAATAGAGTAATGATTTCTAAACTTCTTCCCAGCCCTAAATATTATGCATTCCTTTAGGTGGGTAATATTCTGGCTGATAGAGGCTGTCTTCATGGGTAATCCATAATGTCAGAAGTGTAGAGGACTAGGGAAAAGATACTGTTTCTGGAATATTAAGCCCCCATCTCCTGAATGAGTGCTAGTGTGTAGACACATTATGAAGCAATGTAGAAAGACACATTGGGGCCAGAGTTCTTCAAAAGCCTCCAAAGAAGAACTGCCTGTTACATCTTCTTTTCAAAAATGTTTCTTTTCTTTGAGTTCCCCACCACCCCACCCACCCCCGCCCCATTTCAAGCACCTGGAAGCCCATCCAGGCTGAGGGAAATGAATTGTTTGTGCATGTGTGTGCTGCGGGGCAGTGGTGGTGTTTGCCTAACAAGAAGTCCTGGATACTGCATGGTTTCTGTGTCCCCAGCCTGCTCACACCTTCCTGCTGTCCCTCCTAAGTTTGAAGCATGTCAGAAAAGCAGCTCAGTCTGAACTCTCAATCAGTTCAGGTATTAGAGCCTTTGACTTCAGACTGACCACCGGAAGTTGAGAGAGCCCAGCCAGACTGCCCTTCTTCCATCCATCTCACCAGACTCCCCCAGTGGCTATTAAATTGGCTGCTTTGCTGCTGGCCTAAAGGCAGGAAGACCTGAGCTCAAATATGGTCTCAGATATTTGCTAGTTGTGTGACCCTGGGCAAGTCGCTTAACCCTGTTTGCCTCAGTTTCCTTATCTGTAAAAAGAGCTGAGAAGGAAATGGCAAACAAACTCCAATATCTTTGCCAAGAAAACCCCAAATGGGGCCATGAAGAGCCTGACGCAAAATGACTGAAAAACCACAAAGCTCTCTTGCTTCCTGTCTTGAACTTGGGGTGTCTGGAGATCAAGCTGGAGGCTTGGCCCTGGGGTCAAGATGTAAACAAAAGGCATTGTGATTCCTGTTTGTACCAGGCTGCTCCTCAAGCTCCCAGACAGACTGCCTCAGTTTAGCACTTAGCATTCCCCATTCCTGGAGTGCACTTTCTCCTCAAGTCTGCCCTTCAGAATTCATCTCTTCTTGCAAAATTCAACTCAGCTAGCTAACTTTTCTGATGAGCCTTTCCTAACACTCTCCCCTCCCTCTTCCCTCTCCCAAATTTTCCCAGTGCACCCCCTCCCCATTTTATTGCCTTTCAATCTGAACTTAACAAGTACCATATAAAATCAGCATTTCTAATGCATTGTAGAACAGGAGGGTATTGTACATGAAACAAAGTCTACATGACGCGCAGTTAGCTTTTCTTTTAAACTTCAGCATGTACCTGGCAAACCAGCCCAGCATGTCTGTGATTCCTTTTGGCCTTCCTTCTGTTCTCTCCTTTTTTGGGGGGGAAAGGGAGGACCAGAGACGCTCCTCCTAAATTGAAAAGAAAAACTAAAACTTTATAACAAAAATACATACTTTGACTTCACATATATAATGAATGCTTGCCTTTTCAAGGGGTGGAGGAGGTGGAGGAGGGAGAGAGAATTTGGACTCAAATTTTAAAAAAATGAATGTTAAGCATTTTTAATTTAATTGGGGAACATTTAACAAAATAAAAATATATTTTAAAAATACACTGTTAGGCAAAATAAATCCCCACGTTGTCTGTGTCCAAAACTCTGTTTCATTCTGCACCTGGAGTTCATCACATCTGTGTCAAGAGGTGGGTAGCCTGGAATTGTGGTTGGTGGTTATACTGATCTGAATCCTAGAGCACTTGGTCTAGATTTCTCCTTTGCCTCCTTTACTGTCCACCTGTGGTATTCCCCTCCCTCATATCAGAATGTAAACTCTTTAAAGGTATAGACTGATGTTATTTTTATCTTTCTATTTTCCAATGCCTAGCAATTTTAGGATAGTAATAAATGTATGTTGATGACTGCATATGTATCCAATTGCTAGACTTCTCAATGGAGGAGGGGGAGAAAACGAAGGGAGGGAATTTGGAGCTCAAAATTTTTTTTAAAAACCCAACGTTAAAATTGTTTTTGCATGTACTGAGGGAAAAATAAAATATGAAATAAAAACTGTTGAATTTTATTCTTGAGAAAGGGCAGTGCTCTTCCTCTGTCACCGACCCTACTTATCGAATTCTCCCATCCCGAAGGTGGCCTAGGACTAATGACCTTCCTCTTCCCAGTCTCCTCAGTTCTCCCTTTCTATGGATTTCTTCGGGGTGGGATAATGCGGAAAAGCCTAGACTTGAAGTCAAGAAACTGAGGTCAGATCCCAGCTTTGACACTTAATGGCCTTGAAACTTTGTTCAAGCCTCTTAAATCTCTCCGCCTCAGTTTTCTCCTCGGTAAAATGGGGATAATCATACCTGCACTAGCCCCTTCTTAAGCGTGTCGTGAGGAAAGCCCTATCTAAACATTTAATCACTATGGAAATGTGAGGTATTTATAGTCCAAAGCCTAGAGCTATCCCCAACCCCTCCACAGCAGGGGCAGAGAGGAGATGGCAGAAGAGGGCGTCCGTGGAAATCGGACCTGCCTCACTTAGGAAGCAGAGTCAGGACTGTTCAAACCCAAAGCTTGGCCAGAGGCGCTTTCCCCGAAACTCTGGCTGGCCACTTGACGGGCTCCATCGCAGTAAAAACTGGGGACCATTCGGGCGAAAAGGCCAGCCAAGCCCCCTGCCCTGGCGATCCGACGGGCGGCGAAAGCGTACAGCAGAGGGTTGATGCAGCTGCCCAAGAAGGCCAGGGGCGCCGAGATGCTGTGACCCACATCGGCCGCATAGTCCAGCCAGGTGACCGGTTCAGAAGACGAGGCTTCCAGCAGCTCAGAGGCCACGGCTGCAACATTGGACGTGTGGTAGGGCAGCCAGCACACGGCGAAGACAACCACCACAGCGGTCACGATCCGGCTGGCCCGGCGCCTGCCAGGGTGGTGCAGTTTGCGTAAATGGCTGCGGACGCAGGCTGAACAGACGGCGATGATGGTGAAGGGCCCCACAAAGCCCACCACTGTCTCCAGTAGGAGAAGCGTCACCAGCTGCTGGCTCGAGGAGAACTGGCGCTGCAGGCAGTGGCTGGGGTCCGCGGTGAGCGTAGCGGGTGCCGCCAGGAGTAAGGCGGCGACCCACAGCAGCACCAGCACCCTGCGCGCCCCGGCCAGGTGCCACCAGCGCTGCAGGTGGAAGGGACGGGCCAAGGCCACCAGGCGCTCTGAGCTCAGCAGAGTGACGATCAGGACGCCGGAGAACATGGATCCGTTCACCAGCCACACCAGAGTCCGGCATACGACTGGCCCCAGGCTCCAAACGCCGGCCAGCGCGTAGATCCAGAAGGGTACGGTCAGGAGCGCCAGCAAATCGGCCGCCGCCAGGTTGAGAATCAGTAGCACAGTCGGCGGCGGAGCTTTCATCCTTCGACACACTGTCCATATCACGGCCAAGTTGCCTGGGACACCCACGGCGAAGGCCAAGCTCAGGAGGGCACAGGCCACCTGGCGGGCGACACTCAAGGCTATGGGGGAGTCGGGATCCGCGCTAGACTGGTCAGAACTCATGGTCGGGGGACGTTCCCCCAGTAGCTCTTCCACCTGGAAGCCTTGGCAACCCTGGAAGTCTGGGTAGACTGGACGGGCAGACAGCCCTAGACACCCTGCTGGTTCCTCAGCTTCGCCCTCCTACCCGTGACCCTACCAGTGAGAGCTTGAGAAACTGAGGAAGTATGGACTTATCTTTTACTTTCGTCCAGCAAGCCCCGCCCCCTCCCCCACGGCTCCAGAAAAGGCTGAGGCGGCCTTTCTTAGCATCCCAGCTCCGGCCCTCGACTTGTGTAAAGTAGTGGAGCAAGAGGAGGGTAGTCCTAAGAAATGGAAGGAGCTATGAGGAGGACACTGGGATGCAGGCAGGGCGAGGAGGAAGGCTGGGGACAACTTGGTCATTTCCCTCGGTCAATGTTATCTTTCGTTATCCGATGTTACCCTTCTAATGTGGTGGTAGTTTAGGATCGTGTGCATGCGAGCATGTGTGTGTTTGTGTGCTCCCGCGATGATTTGTGAGTGGAGTAAGGTGTGGGTAGGTCTGGCACTGGGGTTGCTTTGTAAGAAACCTGCCAGTTCCTGCCGGGCTCCTAGTTAGTCGTCTTCCTCTGGAGATGGGTCTGTCTGCTGTGGTTCTGGCCCAGTCTAGGTCACTAGGTCACATTGCTAATCCTGGACCTCAAGAAAGAAGAGTCCAAATTTCAGTCAAAAGCACGAGTTATCAAAAGGGTAGGGGGAGGCTTAGGGAAGAGGGAGGGGGAAGCTGGGGAAACTGAACTCTGCAACCCTATCCTTAAGCTAAATTAAGAGAAGAGTAGCCTAATTCCCTCACCTGACACCCTTACTGAGATTTACTGGTGGAGAAAGGAGACCAGGGGATTGGACTGAACAGCTCTGAGAAGCAGAGAAGCCTAGACCTAGACCCTACATAGCCTATGATCTCCCCAACTGCCATTTCATCAATGACTTGGAGGAATGCCTAGACCAGACAGTAAGAATCTGGGAGGGATAGCAAATAAACTGAATGGCAGAATTGCAGAATCTTAGAATGTTAGAGCCGAAAAGGACCTTAGAGGTCATTTGGTCCCATATCTTCAGGAAGGAAACAGACCCAGAGAGAAGAAGTAAGTTTCTGGGGTTCTCACAGTCCTAGTCTCTTCCTTCAAGTTCAGAATTCTTTCCACTGTATCAAGGCAGATCCAAAATGTAATGGCCAGACTGGGATAGTGGACTATACCCAAGAAGATATTTAATAAAGGTTATTGCAAGATTTTGAACTTGAATTTTAAAAATTACCAAGAGGACTATAGGATGTGGTATTAAACATTGTAAAATGGGAATAATAATAGCACCTACCTCCTAGGGTTGTAAGGACCAGAGATAACCAGTATGAAGTGCTTTGTACACCTTAGAGTGCTATACAAATGCTAGTTGTTACATTTATTAAAAATATTGATTTTATCTTTATTGTGATGATGATGATGATGATGATGATGATGATGGAGATGTGGCTACATGTGAAAAAGACATAGGTTTTAAATGACTAAAATCTCAATATACAAGCCAAAAAAAGTTAGCATTTTTTTTTTGGAATCTGACCATGTCACTTCCTATTCAAATTTTTCATCAGCTCCATATTGCTTTTAGGATAAAGCACAGACTCCTCAGGCTAAATTTTAGTCCTTAATAATCTGGCTCCAACTTCTCTTTGTAGATTTATCTCACATTCTTTTCCAGAACCCACTTTGCACGTCATCAGAACTGAATTGCTGAGTGTTCTTTGAGTTTGGCATTTCATTTCCTATTGCTGTGAGTATGTTCAAATTTACTGGAATATACTCCTTCCTTACCTCTGGTTCTTGGAATCCTTAGCTTCTTTCATGGCTCTACTCAAGAGCTACATCCTATGCAAAGTCTTTACTAAATCTAAAGAAATATTAAGTGACTTTTTTAATGTATTTTTTTTTCCAATTAACAAAAAATCCTCTATTTTTTTCTCCATCTTATCTCTCTCCACATTGAGGGAAGGGGAATCCCTTGTAACAAATATGCATAGTTAAGCAAAACTAATTCCCTCAATAGCCATATCCAAAAATTTACATTTCTCAACCTGGACTCTGAGTCCATCATCTCTCTCTCTGGAGATGGGTAGCATGCTTTATCATGGGTCCTTGGGATTTGTGTGCTTGATCATTGTGTTGATCAGAGTTATTAAACCTTTGAGAGTTTCCAAGTCTTTACAATATTGTTATTATTGTATACATTGTTCTCTTGGTTCTGCTCACTTCTGTCAGCATCAATTCACTCAAGTCTTCTCCAGGTTTCTCTGAAAACATCCCCTTTGTCATTTCTTACAGCACAATAGTATTTCAGTATATTCATATACCACAATTTGTTCAGCCATTCCCTAACTGAAGGATATCCTCTTAGGTTCCCTCTCTTTGTCACTGAAAAATGAGCTGCTGTGATATTAAGTAATATGTCTAGTGTCACTGAACAGGGAATAAACCATTGAGGGAGGATATGAACTCAGATTCTCTGACTACAATTCCAGTTCTCTTTCCACTGTACCCTAATCTCTTTCCGAAGGGAAATTAATGAAGGGAAAAAACCCCCAACTATTTTCTCTTCTCCTTATTCCTCCCCACATTGAATGGGAAAAACAAACCTTTGAAACAAATATGAATAATCAAGCAAAACTAATTCCCCAATGCGTATATCCCAGAATTTATATGTCTCAATCTGTTGTCTCTCTGTTAGGAGATGGAGAGCATGTTTCATCGTGAGTCCATGGGAATCGTGTGGTTGATCATTATGTAATTAATCATGTGATTAAGCATTGGCAGGGGAGGCTTTAAGGATTACAGAGTGACACAATGAGTCACGGAATAGCAAGATTATACTTCTTGGGTAGAATAGGTGATGTCTTGGTTGGGACATTCTCATAAGATGTTCTGTGAGCAGTGATGGTACCAGGCTGAGGTGCTGAGGTTCAGCAAACCCTTCAAAAGCTGGGTTTGGCCAAGAGACACTGAAGGGAAAGCTGTCCGCCAGAGAATCAGTCCTTGCCTTTTCCTTTCCTCAAATGTTTAATTCATAGTATCAGAGAATTTAGAGCTAGAAGAAGGAGCTTGGAATTATTTTCTAATTGTGTTTATCATACTTGATGACTAATATTCTATTTTCTTTTAATGTAATAAATTTCAATTGGATTCTGTATTCTATACAAACAACCAATGACTATATTTTTGATTGAATTCATCCTTTAAAAAAAAGATTTTCTAACGTTAACCTTGAGGAATTAAAATGACAAAGTTGGATTTTCTGACAGTTCTAGGATAGTTCTGTTTTGCTAGCATTGCTTTGCTAGTATTGTTATAATGGATGTTCATAATGATGATGAAACACAAGTTGTTGAAGTGACTTTTGGAAGATGGAGTAAAAAGGTGGTCGCTCTCACCCTCCCCTATCAATCTCTGAAAACCCAGAAAATATCACCCTAGGAAAAAAAAACACTGGAACAGCTGAACTACAAGAAACACGGGGAACAGCTGTGCAGCAGCCCAGCAAACAGGTCTCCCAGTGCCTCAGCAAAAATAAGGGAAGCAGCACTACAAAGGGCCCCAGGCTGATAAGCACCCTGCAGCATTCACCTGAAAGGAACTGAAGAAAACAACCTAAAGTATTCCTAAAGCCCCAGCCTTGCTGATTCCAACCCAACACCAGGTAAGCTGTCAAAACCCCAGGAAGAGATCCTGAAGCCCAGGTGGTAGAGCAGGCAAGCACCAACATCTGGACCTCCAAGTGCCTCAGTGAGGGCAGGGGAACTGGTGGAAACCAGCTCAGAAAACCAGCAGGTGCCTCAGCACTCTACCTCAAAGGAATCTCCCAGTGCATTAGCAGAAACCAGGGAGGCAGCATTGCAAGGGGCCCCAAACAGATAAACACCCTGCAGCACCCATCTAAAAGGAGCTGAAGAAAGCTAAAGGAAAGGAAAAGCAGGCAACCTAGAATTGCCTGAAAGTTCCAGCCTTGCTGATTCCAGTCCAACATGAGGTAAGCTGCCAAAACCCTACAGCCTCCAATTGCCAACATAAGAGGCCCTGGCACACAAAGCCAGTGACCAAGACCTAGCCTCCCAACACAAGAAGCTTGGGTCAGTGCCCTCTGTTCCCCAGCAGGAGAGCTCAATCTCTTTAAAGGCCAGGGAATAAAGAAACCATGAGTAAAAAGAAACGTACCATAGATTTATACTATAAGAAGAGTGGAGATCAAGACAGAAATTCTGAAGAGGACAACATTGTCAACAAACCCACATCTGCAACATCAAAAGGGAATATGAACTGGTCTGAAGCCCAAAAAGCCTTCTTAGAAGAGCTCAAGAAGGATTTTAAAAGTCTAATGAGAGAGGTAGAAGAGTCCTTAAAAAATACAATTGGCCAATTGGAAAAAAAGTACACTGAAGAAAACAAGTCCCTAAAAAACACATTGGCAAACTGGAAAAAAAGTACACTGAAAAACAAATCCCTTAAAAATACAATTGGCCAATTGAAGAAGGAAGTACAAAAACTAACAGAAAAACAATCTGTTAAAAACTAGAATTGGACAAATGGAAACTAATGACTCTATGAGAGAGCAAGAATCAGTCAAACAGAAACAAAAAAATGAAAAAATGGATGAAAACATAAAATACCTCATCGGTAAAACAACCAACCTGGAAAATCAATCCAGGAGAGACAATTTAAAAATCATTGGACTACCTGAAAATCATGATGAAAAAAAGAGCCTGGATAGTATCTTTCAGGAAGTCCTAGAACCAGAAGGTAAAATAACCATAGAAAGAATACACCGCTCACCACCCAAAAGGAATATAATAGCAAAATTCCAAAATTACCAGATGAAAGAGAAGGTGCTGCAAGCAGCCAGAAAGAAACAATTTAAATATCATGGAACCAGAGTCAGGATTACACAGGACCTTGCAGCTTCTACATTAAAAGACTGCAGGGTGGAACATGATATTCTGTAAGGCAAAGGAGCTTGGATTGCAGCCAAGGATCAACTACCCTGCAAAAATGAGCATGATTTTTCAAGGGAGGAGATGGATATTCAATGAAATAGGGGACTTCCAAACCTTCCTCATGAAAAGACCAGAGCTCCACAAAAAATTTGATCTTCAAGTACAAGATTCAAGAAAG